TCATCTTGGTGATTGAAGTGAAATAAAAATCTGGTCAGTAGTCGGACCTCGTAGCTCAGTTGGTAGAGCATCGGGCCGGAAACCCAGTCATCGCTAGTTCGAATCCGGCCGCGATCCAGATTTCCATCTCACCTTCAATTATCACCCAGTATAAAGGAAAATCAACACTTTAAGTTACCAGTTGTAAACGTAGGAATTTCTGTATTTCAGTTTTTGTTTCATCATCTCTCTGTGTGGTCAAGTAAAACTTTATTGGACAATTCCGTCCTACAGTTGACCAATCATAATAGATATCCAACGTTTGACCTAGTGGATTACTATGTTCACGAAAATTGTATGTAACTGATGTATTTTTGTTAAATGAAATGTCTTCCTAAAATTCACAGGCCGATGTTTGTCTTCTAATTTTCGCGGCTTTGAAGTATAAGGTTCTGAGGGAGAACAGTCAATATTCGTATCTAGTCTAAAAGTCTTATCGTGTTAGCACCGTTCGTGTATTTTATTATTATTCCTTCGGTCAGTTCACAAGTGTGTCAGTTGAATATGACACAGTAATTCTTTTCCATGACAGACCTAAGTAGCGAAAGTCTTTCTAGTGCATAATATCAAGCAGCCAATCTCTGCGGAAGCAGGTTATGAATCTATCGCTAAAGTTCCAAGATGTAACAATTATTTTATTGAATAGTTTATCTTCCACAATTTCACCTATAACTTAAAATATGCCTAGACAGTGAAAAAAAGAAAATTTGTCAACGATGTATGCTTTTTGAATAAGACTGCCAGTAGTTCAAAAGGGTTTACGCCTCAAGATGACAACAAGCCATTCTATCTTAACCGTTTCTTCTTTTTTTTCAATTACATACAACTATAATTTCAAGTTATTTTACAGAGAAGCAGGTAGTTTAAAACCCCACAGAGTAGATCAATGAAATCATATGCAATTGACCAGTTACTCATCTGATTCCATTTACACTGTTCTATACAAAGTGAATGAGTGAATTCTTATCAAACCACCTCTTCAAAATGACCGTTTATTGAAGTGGATCATTGAATAATTCAGGAATAAACATAAGAAACAACCTTTCACTGATGAAGACAGCTTTAATTTGATTGATGAAATCAATTCATTCATACAGTCTTGTATATCTACTAGGTTTATGTATCAAAGAGTGAATAACAACAGATCATAGTGAACTGCTATCAATCGGAGGAACATTAGAAACCTGGGAACAGTGGACAGCCGTCTCGTCCTAGTATGGAACTCTTCAGCGTGCGCACCCATGGCCCCACCAGGGATCGAATCCATAACCTTCAGGTTCCGTGGCCAGAACGTTACCTTCGAGCCACTGGCTCAGTGGAATCCAATGGTCTATATTCCCAACTACTGTCAGTTCACAACATAGTGCGTTCATCACCCAATGTCATCGTCGAGTATTTGTCCTCACGGCCACTAGGTTTGCCCCACCGATCACGACTTCTCAGTGGAAAATTAATTATCCTCCCTAGGCAGACAATTACACATCAGTGCTACACTTATGTTCAAAAAAGTATGTCTATAAACTTGATGATCAAGAGATTGTCAGCTATAAAGCTAAATTTAACTTGAGATAATGACAGGCGCCTGAAAAAAATGATTATTTGAGAGTAATGCTGAAAACGATTGAAACAAAAGCTGCCAATTGTTTTCATATTAAAAGGATAACCACTGACAGAGTAAGAAAAGCTATTGAAAGGAATATTTTGTCCCACTGTACTTATTATCCATACTAACCTAATGCTGCCAAAGGTCATGGAAATACGCAGTATAAATATGAACTACTCACAAGTAGTATAAAATATTACAGTAATTACCTTTGATTTTCCCTTCAATTTCAGTTATTCGTTTACGTTGTAGATTGTTTTCTTCGCCAACATTTTTCACAAATTTTAACAGCCAATTCTCCAGAACAGTGATATGATTCAGTAGTGTAGATGAGTCGAATTCATTTACATTGTGACCATTGTAAAAGCTACGGGATAAACAAGCCAAAAGAAACATTAGTTATTGATATACTTGTAATTCTCCGTTGCTTTATTGGATTGAATCGTTCGACCTCTATTAGCATATGGGCCCCTATGCAGATGCCTAGATATTGCCTGAATGTTAATTATGGTATTCTGCTTGGTTGTGGCTTGTAGAGAAATCTAGGACACGCGTTTCTTCCTATTTGGGCCTCGTTGGCTGGATGTACCTGCACCCTAGTAAGTGATGTTTTTCCCACTGAGAATCGAACGTCATACTCATTGCTCTAAACGCCAAGGCGTTATCGACTATGCCACAGTTATATGTAGAAATACCATTGTAGGAAATGACGAAACCAGGTTACTTTGCATGACCAAATCGAAGAAGTGTGTTGCTTTTGAGATTACACTGGAAAGTAGTGATAAGATCAAATCTTCACCGAGACTATTTTAAGACTATAAACAAGGTGAATGGATTATACTGGAAATTTTACAAGGAAACGCGATTTCCAGTAAAATTCTACCCTCAGGTTAACAATGAGGGAGACCAGAGAGCTAGTATCAAAGTGTTGGATGGACATGACATAGTCCTTGAAAATTCAAATTAAACTCATCTGGATCACGAAAACATCTGACTCATATGAGTAATAGTTGGCTAAGAACTGGAAATATTCAGATACATATCTTTCTCTAATTTATACTATTTCCGTGCCACAAAACATACATCTAGAACATGAACACTATAGTTGGAAAATACGAAAAGAGTTCAGTAGTTAAACGCGATGAAGGCTGATAATTCTATCACGATGACCAAGTAGACTAATAATAATGGGAACATTTTCTTTGATGCCATACAGTATCACTTAGTTGAAGCAGATGGCAGTGGTGAAAAGAAAGCTAGTGTTCTACAGTAAAAAGGTTTAGATGCCTGAGTTTCAGGGTTAGGTTGTATTGCTCACTAGATAGAGGAGAGAATGGTAGGGTGCTTCACATAGACGGGTAGCTTTTTCCCCTGATATAATGACTTCGAACTGCGAAATTGAAAGTTTATAAACTCAGTTAGCCTCAGAAAGCCTTGTACTACAAACTTTCAATAGTCAATAATAGCCAACTGTAGAATGAGTGAAGCTTTACAACAAGAAGAACACTGTCAATCAACAATAATTAACTACTGTAAATGTGCCTTGACAACTAGCAGCAGATATTGAATTGCAAAAGAGACAGAATTTGATTGACATTGATAAGTGCTGACAACTTCAATCCAACAGTGGACAGAGAACTACAGCACTGCTATCCGTTATTTATAAACTTCATATCAGTCTGACTTGTGAGAAAGAGAATATAGTCATCTACCATTCTTAGAAGTACTCCTGACAAGAAGATAGTTGAATAAGACAGTCAGTTTACAGAAAGCAGGATAATCTCTGAATTTTCACAGTTCTTGTCCAATTCAATCCAAGCGGGGTCTAATAAAATGCTTGTTCAATAGGAGTTATCATATTTCTAAATCAGATACGGTGGATGAAGATATCAAATCACTGACCAAAACACTTATGCAAAACGGACATCCATTGAAGTTTATAAACCATTGAAGAAGGCAGATAGCACCGAAAACAACTCTGTACACGGTATCTAAGATAAACGTCCATATCACTATATCACACAGAGAGGAGTTGACTAGTATGATTTTGAGACGTCGGCTAACATCAGCTGTCATGAAGATATATTACGCAGCTAATCTTATCATTGTGGAAAAAACAAAACACATGCCTCACCACAAATTTAAACACTGTATCATTGATTACGTCATATCGCATTGTATTTACCAATTTACATACGTGTGTGGTCACATATACGTAAGGAGGAGTAGTTGAGCCTTACAGTTGAGGATGGGAGAACATAAATGGCTTTAAAAAAATGGGGTGTGAATCCTAAATAAGCCCTAGTGGGAGATGAACCTCTTCATCTACAGCCAAACATAATATAGAAAAGGGTCACAAAATTAATGTCCCAATAGCTTCATCTAGAAAGCTTTTATATAGAAGTAGTCAGGGACGAATAATGAGATTTGCAGCCTCAATAGGCATACACCAATTGAAACCACCTCTGAGTGTATAAAAACGATTTATTCTTACACTACTCCTACTCCTTAGCAAACTTCGTTTTCTTATCAAGATTAGGATCAACTATATCACTCTCCCTTTTAATTCTCATCTTTCTTAATTTTAATCCCCTGTTGATCTTAATTGCTCTATCTCCCCCCCCTTTCGATTTACCATCAGTTATTGTTAGACAGAATAAGTAGGATTATTAGTCTGTGCTTCGAGTGATTGAAGGTTTCAAATGTTTTCTATATAGTGAAGGAAAGTGTCTCGAATCACCATTTTTCCGATGTACTAAACTCGCGAAAAGCTTGAAAACTAAAAGATAATAAAACACTAATGTGTTGCATATGTATAGTGTCAATCTATAGAAGAATATGCTAACAATAATAATAGTGTAGTGGGTGCTACTGATAAAAATGGATATAAGTAGTATAGTGTTGAGAGATTGGCAGAAGCCATAGGTAATTACCAGCGATGAGGTAAATATATTCTGCCCAAAAGAAACACAAGTGATAATGAGAGTATATAAAGAGTAAATTGAGATCGAAGAACATTTCATCAGTAATGTCATAATATAAACATTCCTTCCAGTGTCTGTATATCGTTTCTTACAGTAGTAAAAAAGAATAGATAAGGTTAGTAGTTCATATAATTCTAGGTTCATAGTAAATAAGAAATTATTGCGTTCTATGTTATTCATCTAAATGTTTGCTACTACACAAAACTCTATGTGTTGAATAATTGTACAGTTGTTTCACCTTTGTTTCATGTATACAATGTAAGGATGACGGACAGAAATATTGATCCAATCAATCACTAGTCTCGATTTTCATCTTGTTATTGTAATCAATACACTCACTATGCGTTATTTTTTTCATTTTTTTCTATTTTTTTGCGTCCGGATAATCAACAGTATTTTAACTCATTGAATATTGTGATCCTGAATACTGACTAGTTTAATTATGCTATATAGTGATTAAAATTCTTTTTTTTTCCATCTGATTGACCTCATAACAATATTGTATCGGACCAAATTATTAAAAATCTGAATAATAGCGATTGAAAATTAAAAAAGTTAACAAGTATATCGAAACAGATTCAATGTAGAAGTGTGAAAGGGAAGGTAAAGAATAAGTCTACTTCAGAAGCTTTGTAAGAATCTTTTGGCTAATTACTAGGCTTCATATAATCGTTGAAGGTACAATTAGAGCCATTTTACCCTGGCCGTATGTTTCTGAAGGAACAACAACTTCGTTTCATGTTGACTGTGAGTATTAAGTCAGAAGTATCACTGAATAATGCACGCACACACACACACACAGTTACTTGACCAATAGTTCCATTCCTTAGCATTAAGGGTTTTGAAATAGGTGCGTTTGTAGTCGAAAACCCTTATCCTCTTTATATCTTCTGATTTCGAAGGCCATATCTCACAAACAGAGCAGTATATCCTCATCTATCTTTAGATATCTAACATGGGAGAGCTTCAGACCATTTGAGTGATGCAAACGCATCCCAAACATACTCAGATATATGCTCCGATGCCTTAAGGAAACTTCATATTTTTTCAATGTCTCCACTGAAAAGCACCATATCGTCTACGTATTCCAAGTCAGCCAAGTGTGCCTTAAATGGAGTAGATCAATCTCTGTAAAAATGAAAGTCCGTCAAGTCGTCAGTAGCACACTAAGGAGGAGCGGTGATAACAGGCATCTCTGGTTGTCAACATTTCCAACGACAACTCATCATAAGCTCCTAGGCAGCGGTGGGAGTTCGAGCGGATAGCTCTGATTAGCATCATATACTTGCTTGGTACTTCCTTCACAGTCATATACTATCACATCTTTCGGTCGATGAGATCGAATGCCACCTCCAGGTCAAAAAAAGATCAGTGTCGGTCACTAGTAAGAATGCTTGCGCCTCATGGCCTGAAGAAAGGTGAAGATCTAATCGATACACTGTTGTTCAGGTCTGAGAACTGCCTGAGTTTCCTGAGCTTCCGCTAGGCACCGTATACATAAGGATCTTGGATGAGATGTGAGTTAAGCTGACCGAATCACCATGTGGTTATCATAAGGCGACCTTCCTTCTGTTGTCGTAGACTGGAATGCCCATCAATTTAGACCAATCCAAAAGGTTTACTTCTGGTTCCCTTCAACTACCTAGCATCTCGGTTATTTCATTCAGTAATTTTCTACTTCTATCCTTCCAAACGTCTTATGGTGAACCATCAGACCAGCTGCTTTGCACCCTTTCACATTTGAAATAGCTTTCTTAACTACAAGAAGGGCTGAATGGCCAGTATAATACGTCTTATTCAGGTTAAGGTTCGATGTTGGGTAACTGAAACATTGTTATGAGCCAGTTGAACTGTGTTTCAGTGTTTCAACCAACGTTCTAGCCGTCTATTCTGAAAGGTTATGAGCATCCCATCCTTTTCGGTGATAATCATCGTCTTCTCGCTAGTATCCCTAATAAGCCTTAATGGTTGTCGAGTGCTACTTACTGTTTCTGCCTTTTCCATTTCTTTCACTTTCTCCCCCACAAATGCTCGCGATCATTAAAAAATTCTAGTTCGATGTACTTTTGATCTGCTTCTTCTTCTTTTTCTTCTTCTTCTCAGTATTCCACACACACTACCCTATTAGTTTAACCAGGGATTCTGACTAAGATACGAATGCAGATATGAGGCATAGTTATTGACGACAGTTGAATAAAAGAATATTAAAATTCGAAACGTAATCAAGTCATTAACTTGAATTACTTTAACGAGACAAATGATTATTCAATTACTTATATTGGCTTTTCCAGAAGATATTTTTTCTGTTTTGTAGTCTACTTGGCGGCCAGCAGTGGAATCCAGGATGCCCGTTTAGTCCTATTTAGAGCTCGTAAGGTGGATGTACCTTAACACCGGTGAGGAGTAATGTTATCCTCACTGAGACCCGAAACTAGTACCCTTCGCCTCTAGCTCCTAAGCATTATCTACAAGGCAAAGTGTATGTACACACAGCTGACGAGTCCCAAATACGAAGAAACGCGAGTTCTGGATTCCATTAGCAGCCGCCAAGTATACTAGAATATAATGAATATCCAGACAGCATCGCGGCCTCCGGATAGGAACGCATCTGTCAACGCAAGTCGTGCATTTCGACTAAGTATAGCAACGGGAGATTATAAGTATCAATGACCAAAAATGTTTCTATTTGTTTTCGCATATGTTTAGGCATGGGAAAAAAGGTTTTTCTATAACAATACTACTTACCTATAAAATCCTTCTCTAGCCAATGAGCTATTTGGATAATAACGACTGTTGTTTTTACCAGATGCTTCAGAAGATTGTGATATAAGTCGAAGGGTATGATTAATTTGACTAGTCACTGGCATATCGTTTGATGTGATAGTATCTGGAGTTTGTTGGCGTTTATAATCATTGTCTGATGCTCGCCTGTTACTATCACCTGACATAACATTAGTTAAATTATTAAATGAAAAGCTACCTGATAAATCATTATTCAATGATTCTTCACAGTATAAATCGGCTACCGCTGCACCAATATGAACAGGTATACGAAAATTAACAATTAGATTGATAAAATGTATAATCTGTGCATATATTGTGCTTTCTTCCCGTGTTTCCAATGCCTGTTGCACTTCTTGTGAACGTGTATGACCGATACGCATTTCTTCTGCAGCTATTTCCAATGCAGACATGTTCGGTGTATAACATTGTTGTTGAATTGTACACTTTTGTTTAAGATGGATCAATAGATAAGCAAGAGAGAGAGAGAGAGAGAGAGAGAGAGAAGAACTATAAACTCATTTAGTTAAAAAAGTTAAACTTTTTAATAGTGTTTAAATTAGCGACTACCGTGTTTCCGACCCAATGCTCTATCAACTGAGCTACAAGGCCTGAACTGTTGACTAGATTATTATTTCACTTCAATCATCAAGGGTTTTACCTGACTGTCATGTGTGTTTATAATGCATTAATACTGCTTGGTCGTACTCATAGTGGCATTTTAGTCATTGACAGTCGAATCTCGCAGCTCAGTTGGCAGAGAGCCGGACCGGAAACCCTGTGGTCACTGGTTCGAATCTTACCATGGTTCGCATTTTCACCTCATATTCAATCATCACTAGTATCAATACTAGCTTGCTAGGCCAAAGCTATATCAGATAGTTAAAATGATGATCTTTTAACAACTTTTCAAATCCAAATCGGTTAAATTTGACATGGAATACAGCTTGTTTTAATAAAAGAGATGGAAAATTTAACTCCTACTCAAAACTCAATTTGGGAGTTTGTGGGGATTTATTAATTTTAAAGTTGGTATTCATCATAGAGTGACATCAGTTGGAGAAACATTGGAAACTTGGGAGCACTGGAGAGCTGTTTCATCTTAGTATAGGACTCCTCAGCAGTACGCACCCAGGACCTTTAGGAGCGATGGTTGCGCACTGCTGAGGAGTCCCATACTAGGATGAAACAGCTGTCCAGTTCTACTTAAACAGTTTACAGTTCACATACTGTCGTGAAGTGAAGCGCATAGGACACTGTACTCACACAAAATATAATACAAAGCATTTTCTAGTCCAGGTGTTTGGAAGCTGAATAGAGAATAACTGCATTCGTGTTTCTTGACACACACACATACACACACACACACACGAAGTCATTCAACCTTCTTATGAACAATATTTTTTAGCCATCTAAGCAAACAAACTAAGCGATTTGAAAGTAGAGCATTTTCAATACTGTAAACACAGTTACCGGACTAGAAATCGAAATAGTTGGTTCAAAGAAGCTGGGTAAACCCTTTTTCATTGAATTTCAATTCCTTGAAGTTCGTTTTCCCTTGATCTTCACATCTTCTTGTTAATATTAATTTACTTCTTGATAAGTTTGATGTCTTAGGACATTTATATATCCATGAAGTTGATAGATCTAAATTACACCTTTCAAATATAAAGTACAGTATAAAAGTCGCTTCAGATTTAATAAATGCGCCTATGAAAAAGCTTTCATTTTCGTATGATACTAAGAAAACATCAAGTCAGATGTTTTTGAAGTGTGAAGAGTTATCATACAATATGTTGCGGACATTTACATTGTTATCTAAGTATTCACTTGTGATAATCCCAATATGCAACATTCACAAACAAATCCTTATGAGGTTCAATACAATTCAACAACTGTGATTCGTCACAAAATTCTATGAAGGTCAGTCAGTGAACTGAATATGAAATGAAATGCTGGTAACTGTTTTATACTTGATCTCATAAACTAAAATTATAAGAAGAGTTATGGCTTTGTACCCAGCTTCACTTAGCGATGACAATGGCCTTCACATGCTAGGTGTGAAACGAGGCTCACAAAACTAGTTGTAGGCAATACAATACCCTGTTGAATTGAAGGTTACAACTGGAATCATCAAGCACCACAGTCATAAAGCTTCCCGGGCAACAATAGGTCTTCTGTCAGAGACTCTATACATTAACGTGGTTTCCGAAGACTAATCGATATAAAGTTTCCTTACGCTTAGTGTAGATCAAATGTATTTTGTCGATGAAGTATGTATGCAATATGGCAACCAACTGATAGAGTATTCTGACGAAGTTTGTTTTGTTCTTTTTTTAGTTAAAAGTGAAATCAAATACACTTTGATATAGGAGCAAAACTTGGGTACTGTGATAGATCGTAATTCCATTTTAGTCTGTTTATTAGAAATGTCACACATAGTGAAGAAACAATATCATTGACTGGATCACGTTTTCAGCACAATTTATTGTCCATGGTCATATCAGGTAAATAACTCCACAACTTCGAGACAGAGTTGATATATATTCCTGATCCTCTCCTCTCCTTTGTGATGATAAGGGTAGTAGGATTTTCCATATATCTGGGACAGGTGCAGAATCATTTCTAACACTACATGTATTTGGTGTTGATTTGATAAACAAAGATTCAGTTATTAGTCTCTACCTCCCTACATCCAACTATGTCGGTTTTTAAGACTGTCGTTCTATCCCACCCCACTGTGTGAGACTGTGATAACTGCGTGCAGAGCTATAGCCGAACATCTTGCTACATTTCTTATCTTATTAGGATCGGATAATCTTGATAAAGCTAATTTTTTGTGTTGTGCTATTCTAATCGACCCTGGTCGACTACTTTGATCTACGTATTTAACCTCTTAATCATTGAAATGAATTTAGTAAACCAGATTATTTTGCCTAGTTGCATCAATAGGATCTTTGATCCTGTAAAGTTTGTTTCTAAGCAAATTTGTTGGTTTCAAAGCCAGTCACTTTAATCCCAGACAGCCTTACTATGAATTTTTCGTAATGCTTCTGAGGTGCCTTCCTTGTATGCTAACTGAGTCCTGTTACCATTATTACTATCATTAATAGAATTATTATTAATAACACGTGTGTTACTACTACTTCTTATACTTTTCGTTCTATTTCTTATGAATTTATCTATATATTTAGGTGGGTTATTATTAAGACGCTTGCCTAGAAACAAGCTTTACAGGATCAAAGATCCTATTGATGCAACTAGGCAAAATAATCTGGTTTACTAAATTCATTTCAATGATTAAGAGGTTAAATACGTAGATCAAAGTAGTCGACCAGGGTCGATTAGAATAGCACAACACAAAAAATTAGCTTTATCAAGATTATCCGATCCTAATAAGATAAGAAATGTAGCAAGATGTTCGGCTATAGCTCTGCACGCAGTTATCACAGTCTCACACAGTGGGGTGGGATAGAACGACAGTCTTAAAAACCGACATAGTTGGATGTAGGGAGGTAGAGACTAATAACTGAATCTTTGTTTATCAAATCAACACCAAATACATGTAGTGTTAGAAATGATTCTGCACCTGTCCCAGATATATGGAAAATCCTACTACCCTTATCATCACAAAGGAGAGGAGAGGATCAGGAATATATATCAACTCTGTCTCGAAGTTGTGGAGTTATTTACCTGATATGACCATGGACAATAAATTGTGCTGAAAACGTGATCCAGTCAATGATATTGTTTCTTCACTATGTGTGACATTTCTAATAAACAGACTAAAATGATAAATGGTGAGTCTCCTAGTCTGGAAACGAAACACCGAAGAATTGGTTGATAAAATTAGGTACTATTTACTCTGCACATTTAGTCGATCAGTGAATAGTTTCTTGTCTTGTGATTTGTTAACATTATAAAGTTAGGCTACCATTAAATTCATCTGGTGGCATACAAATTCTAGAATACTATAAAACGTAGTAATAAATATATGTTAAACTAGTTATATGCATCATAGTAATTAGTAACTTACTGTAAGTATAGCATAGATTGGATAGTTTACGGATTAAAAATATAAAGGAATGTACACAACAAATTATCTGTAACCATGATATATCTTGATAGTCTGTCTATATTGGAATCCTACTTAATGCCATTGCCAAAAAAAGGGTAATCAAAAACGTTTAAATGGAATCCGTTACAATCTGATAACTTCAACTCTATTTTTTCTGATCTGAATGGTCGAATCATCAATATCAACGCTGGACCACCAAGTATATTATAGCGTAATTATCTAACTTGCCACACTGCATCTCAGAACATAAATTAACAAAACAATGAAATGAAAGATAAGGAAATAAGGAAGAATCGGTCAAAAGCAGTAGAAATTATTTTTTTTGAAAAAAGGAAGGAGGAATAAACCAATACTGAATCCAGTATAACGATGAACAACCAGATAACGTTTACACCATTGACATCGATTCTCAGGCAATGTCATCTATAGCCTGGTTTTTGTTGTCACGTGGACCCCAACCGGGAAGTCTACATTTCCCAACATGGCTCATACCAACTGCAAAACACTTCATGTAATAATGTCAAATTTTAGCCTAATTGTTCCTAACGTTATCCAGTCTGAATCTATTTCAGCTAACATTGTGGGATGAGGCAGAGGATGACTATGCATACGTAACACATATCACGGTCACCTGAATTGATGAAGGTTTATGACCTTATCAACTGATTTTCCTCTTCACCCTAAAACTCCACACCTGACTTTCACATTACTGACGCGGCGACACCACAACACACAGCTTATGCTTCGAAGACAATGGTAGCCAAACACCTGGAGCCTTCTCACGATCAAGATACACAGCTCTAAATCATGTGTTTAAATACACATCGTACAATCCAGATACCATACACTATTCATCTGTGAAAGTCATCAAATAAAATCTTGTTTATCCGCTTTCAACTAATCTAACTTCTTACTTTCAAAACAAAAGTTCATTGAACAAAAGTGTCATGTGTTAACAATTAACAGATGGATATCGGGAAGCTCTAATGAGAAGTCGTGACCCGTGGGGTCAACCAGTCGGAAGTGAAGTGGATGCTAACTGAAGACCTTGGGTGACAGTCGCGCTATGTTGTGAATTGATAGAAGTTGGAAATTGTGAACCACTGGGACCGACCCAGTGGCTGAATGGTTAACGCGTTCGCGGTGAAACCTGAAGGTCCTGAGTTCCATCCCTAGCCGGGTCATGGGTGCGTACTGCTGAGGATTCCCATACTAGGACGAGACAGCTGTCCAGTGCTCCCAGATTTTCGATGGTTCCCCAACTTATGTCAGTTCATGATGAATACTACTTCTAAATTAAAAATCCCCTATTCATCTCAAAAATAAATTACCAAATAAGTTGAAAACAAACTTACAGTAGACTTTTGATTATCACTCCGACCAACGATAACAATAGATACACCATCCTTTTCAGGAGAAGATGGACTTTTACATTGTCTGTTACCTGGAGTTGTTAATGATGATGGCGATGAAGATGTATGACCATTTGGTAAATTTACAAAATGCTGTTTACTTTGTTGTTGTTGTTTATGAGACTTCTTTAGTTCTTCTTCAGAGAAATCAATATACAATAAACGTATTTGATTATTGACTTGTTCGTTGAACACACTCTCCCAAAATGCCATATGCCGCCAAATATCATGACGTTGAATTTGATGACTCATATTGGCATAATAACGGACATTTTCTAATTCCTGCAAAATATACATAATAAATAGACAACAGAGAAAATAAACATTTGATAATAATAATAATAATAATAATAATAAGGGCAGCTTCATTCTAAAACAAGACTTTTGGTGCAGTATGGAATCCTCATTATGTAATATTACTACGTATTATTTGTCCCTTGGGTTCCTAGTGGAACATATGGCTTCAGTAGCACGTCTCCAGTGCACCCTGTTCTCTGCAATCTTTTGAACCTGGCCCCATGACGGCCTAGAAGCTCTTATTTTTTGCTCACACGATCTCTTCCATGTCACCCTCAGACACTCCACTCGACTGCCTGGCGCGTGATGTCCCCGAATAGTCTTCTCAGTGTATGTCTAATCTAATCCATCTCCACTTTCTTCTGCATGTAAATAGTCCAACTAATTTATTCATTGTACAATATCTTTAGGCGAAACTATCATTGCATTTGAATAGTGGTAATAATAACAGTAATAAAAGCTACAATATGAAATAGGCATGTGGTTTGGACTGGTGAATGAATGGAATATAGAGCGTCATTTTGATGGTGGTAGTTTATTCAACCAGTATCAAAATCTGTAATTCGACATAATCATCCAATGAATAGTAACATACATTATCCCTTTGTATTTATAAGCCAATCTCTTAACGTTGTATCATTTATTCTTTGTTTTATTGTTGTCTTGGGAAACAGTAGTTTGAAACCATTTTAAAAGTTCGCAAAGGTACCTGATGCGTTTAGAAGAGATTTTTATAACATTCAAACAAATTAAAGGGGATAAATTTGATGAAATAATTTCTGCTGAAAATTTTCGGTAGCCCAAAGTTTAAGCAGGCCGCTAAAGTCATTAAGAAAAATAGGGATAAAAAGAAACAATATGAAAATATTGTTCATTGAGAAATGAAGGCAACTAGGTGCAGCTGCTGATCAGTTGTAATTGGTGGCTGATAGTTGTATAGAATCGCACATAATATTTGCGAAAGTTAGTACAATTAAAAACATTTACAATACAAACTGTCTAATAGTAACCAAACAATCTATGTCAACATGTCGATAACGTAAAAGTCAGGGAGGATAGGAAAGTCAGTTGGTGTAGTCATGAACCTTCATCGATTCAGGTGGCTTAGATATGCATTACGCATGTCTAGTCACCGTCTGTCTCATCGTACAATGTTAACTGAAGCAGATTCAGCCTGGAAAAAGTCTCGGGATGGTCAAACTACAACATGGCATTATTGCATGAAGTCTATGACAGTTGGCTTGAGATATGTAGGAAGATGCAGACTAACCGACTGGAGCCCAAGTGGTAACAGACTCTAGATGATATGGCTCAGAAGTGACGTCAGTGGCGTAGATATGTGCGCACTTTATCTTCATCTTAATTGCTATACTAAATTCAGCATTTTCTCATCCCTCATTCCTCTATTTAACTGCCTTCAACTGCTTCGAACAGATTTTTCTTTATCTCTCAACTTATTGCTTTGTTGCTTGATGTACTGATATGAGGCGTGGCAACTCGTACCGTTGGGCAGTAATCCCTATTCACACTTAAAAGTTAAGCATATTGACGGAGGCCTATGTCATCATCTCAGTTTAGTCCTACAGTATCGGTTAGAATGCTAAATCAACAAATAACCAAGCCATACAGCATAATAGGTGATACGCACAATAACAGGCAGCCAACTCATCTTATAGCGGGAAAGTCTTCACTAATCGATGTCTACAATACGAAAAGCGATGAAGTTTAGGTCAATGAATGCTGACAATGAATACGCTACTTTTGAATTGCTGGTTAAGATATTCTTACAATTAACATTACTCAGTAAGCTTGCTTGGTTTGTTTAATGGTCCCTAGGCACTTAGGACTAGACTACATGAAATTGATGATCTTCCAATAACCAATCAACGTGCCTAACCCAGCCGTACATGAGGTCAATCACTACCCGAACAGCTCAGGGGTTTCTGCCGATTGCCTCCATCAAACTAACAACCATTCTCTGCTACTCTTTGTTGAAACTTGTAATTTCCCGTTCATATATTTGGTCAAATTGCTTGACCTCCGTTTGCGGATGCCTCTGTACTGCCCGGATATTGACTAGAATATTCTCCACTAGTTATACTGACCGTAAAAAGCATACACTTTACAAACGCATACCTGAGCATTACTATGCATGACTCTTGAGAGGAGAATGCAAATCATTTACTACTTGAATTATTCCGTAACTAGCCATGTCTGTCTTAATGATTATATACAAATTCAGAGGAAATGGTTTAAAAAGAGTACAATTTCGTATGTTATGCATGGCGGAGGCAGTGGCAGCAGTTTATCAACTAAGGAAGGATCTCTGTTGCAGAAATCTGAATATGTTTCGGATGCGTTTCGCTTGTACCTATCAAATGTAAGATGATTCTCCAGGAATGGTCTACAACCACTCCCAGTTTAATCACATGGAGTGAAGTGGTGAAATGCATCGACCATATTACTTACTTGGAGAGTTGCATCAGCCAGCCAAACGGGCTGATCGCTGACGAAATCTCAACTCGGATACAGAAGGACTGATTGACAGTTGCTAACTTGCGTCACCTGTTGCACCGACTGGAGAGATATCCAACTATCACAGGAAGGTATACTGCTCTGCAATCCGTTCTTTCCTGTTGTAAGGCTGTCAGATATGGTCGTTAAAAGTAGAAGACAAGAAGCGCTAACAGGGTTTTGATTATAGGTCTCTTCATGGTATTGCTCACGTTTGGTGGGATCACCATGTGAGTAATGCTGAGGTCAGGCGAAGAGTACTAGGTAAGACGAGGCAAGAAGTTGATTGATGAGGTTATGAACCCTCATCGGTTGAGGTGAATTAAGTATGTGTTACGTATACCGATAAACCGCCTTCCTCGACATGTCATGAATTAGGTTAGAAGGAGGCTCATGATGGCCAGACCAAGATGTGGTACCACTCCATGAAGTCAGTACCTATTGGTTTCAGCACCGGCTAGATTCCTCGAGAAGACAGTAATCAGTGGTTGATGACACTTGTTGATATGGTTGGAAATAGGTCACAGTAGTGGAGACATATTCACTCTTTTTGACGTCTTCTAAAGATTAAGATGCTTATTTCTCTCACTCAACTTCATCTACTTTGATATCAGTCTTTTTCTAGCCACCTGTTCTTTTTGTACTATTGTAAATGAGTGACAACTTGGAGTAATGCATCTGTATACGAGGTTCTACGTTGATTTTACCAGTCAATCAGTCAGTTAGTGTCAAGATCTCTGTTTTCAGAAAAAATGTGTTCAATCTCTTTTCTATCACGGTGTTATTGATATAATGTGCTATTAAGTAGATTTTTTTTTTCAGTATTCAGAATCAAATTTTTACCATAATTCTACTCTTGATGATCATCACAGTATTCACGTGACCTTATTGATTGATTAATGGTAGAGTTTGTGTTGAAAACGACTACGTCCAATCATTATTCTTATCATGAACATTAGTGATCACTCAGCCCTATTGTTTGGCAATAAATCATGATTTATTTCCAATTCTTATATGATTCTACTGCTGTAGTAAATGAATACATTAACAAAAAAATTGAACACATCAAGGTAGTTGAAACAGGCTAGTAACTAATATCTCAACAAACTTTAAAATATGCCTTCAACAGGTTATGTAGATGGGCTTAAATGATGTTTGTCCATCCATTTAGTGTCACATGTCAATAATAAACTTAACTATTGAAGTGTTTAAATACTCATTTCCAGTATTAGGTGGTTTAATGAGTGACTTTAAAGGCCACCCTAGCAACTGCTGAGATAACCAAAGAGACTTGTGAAAAAAAACTACCATTCCAGCCAGAATGCTGAAACCTGATTGGTTATTTCAGCACTTGTCAGTGTGGTCATTAAAGTCACCTCAATCTTGTAATAACCACTTGGCATAGCTGTGCAATAATACACACATTTACATCCTGAGCTCTAGATATTGATTTGCGTTTTCTTAAGACAAGAATACTGTCTAAATATTTATATTTAACTGTCCTAAATATCTTCATTTTCAACACGTCACAGGGATTATTGATCTTTCACTGACAGATAATGTTGTATACTTCAATAGTACCATTTTAAAGGGTTCACCAAATATATACACTTACTGTGCACAGTCTAGTGCTTAAGTCCATAATGATAGGAGTAATACCACTGTCTTTTGATTGTGTCTCTTGTCTTAATGCTTCGTCTAACAGGTCAACAATTAGTTCAAATTGTTCCCATGTTAATACAGCTCGTTTTTCATAAACACTTCTGTCAACTGTCATATTACCAATAAAGTCATTGATTGCATCAGTTGGTGATAATGATATTGTGTCTGGGATTAGGTAACGACGTAGTTCATCGACAAATAAACGTCTCATTGGTCGAGATTTTAAATCTTGACGTATTGTATTTCGGCGCTTAAAAAGTTAGAAAAGTAATCATGAAGAAATTAAAATTCAATATATACGGAACATTTAGAACAACAAAAATTTATATATCAATGAAAATTTCTGGTATATACATCACACAGACAAGTTAATATGATGATATGAAAGTGTATTTTCACTGGAAGAAATAAGAAGTGATTCACCGTTATCTTTCTAAATAAAACAATTTACATAAGACAGAAAATAAATTATTACCAGACGCATCGTCTACATTGAACTCCATCATAATATAACGTAGAATATAATTGATAGTAAGTGACCAGCAGTGGACTGCAGGACGTGCGTTTCGTCTTTTTTAGGACTCGTCAGCTAGATGCACCTGCCACCATGTGAAGAATGTTGTTCCCCTTAAGACTCAAGTCCGGAACCGATCACCTCAAAATCCAGAGCGTTGTCTACAAAGCTACCGAGTCAAAATAGCGGCTTGTTGTATGACGGGTATAGGTTTCATGTTATCATTTGTATTATCCCATCGTTGATTGGATAGAATTGATCGGTTTCTATTAGTGGGAACAACATAGCTCGCTAGGAGACAGGTAGATCCAGGTGACGAGTCCCGAATAGGACGAAACGCGGGTCCTGGATGCTACTACTAGTCACTATCCATCATTAGTGTAAAATTGAAACGACAGGCAATATCCAGGCATCCGCGCAGAAGCCCGTATGCTATAAGCGAACGATCCGTTCGGTTACAATCAACTATGGGATAATACAAGCAACACCAATATAACATACAATGCCCAGAAAGCTTATTGAAGCTGAACAATATAATACTGGTCAAATTCATCACCCTTAAGAGCAAAGTCATCTTGTATCATATTTCGGTGTAATCCATTAACTTCAATCATTAAGGGAAGTTTGTAAATCACTATCAAGACAATAGTTGACGAAATATAAAAGTATAAGCAATACGGGATGATGACTGGAGGTGGAATAAAAATCTAGGTCACGGCAAGATTCAAACTAGTCACCTCTACCAAATCACAACTATTTCAGAAAAGTGAATTGAGCAAAAAGGTGACTGTTTACCAACCTTTCTAAACCATAAATCAAACAATGAAATCTAACAAGCCATTCTTTATTGATGTAAACACATACACAAAATATATACACAACACCTATTACTAAACTACTTGAGAACGCTTTGCACACATTTATGTCGCCATATATATATTTTCAGTATTTTGCATAACATAATGCTTGAAATACACATATTGTACCTGTATGCGCTTATCATTGTCATGTTGTATTGATATGTATATGTCAAATAAAACAAACTTCTAAAAACTTAAGCTAATAAAATAGTCAATCAAAGCAGTAAATCAAAGGGTGTCTTCTGTTGAAAACGAGAAACTCACATGAAGAATATATTATGTTTATACAAAAGAAAGGAGACAAATTTCTCTAAAACAAATCTATCAATAGTCTCATCTGACCTTTATATGTCAATTTTATCGAAAGTAGTAACTATATTTACTAGTGCTAAGGAATGAAAAAATCAAGCAGAATTTTGCTTTAAAAGTGAGCTGGTCTATTCGCTCAAATGCTACTTGACTACCCTACTGTCAGAATAGGCATCAACACTGATTAAAACAAAGGCAATATTTGTCACTTACATAGCGAGTGGAAAGATTCTAAGCTATTCAATATGTCCAAATTAACATGATCACATTGAATATCATTTGACTATTGTAGTTTGGCAGACTAGTATTTATACTGGGTGACGATTGAAGGTGAGATGAAAATCTGAACTGAGGTCGGGTTCGAACCGGCGACTACCGGGTTACCGACCCGGTGCTCTACCAACTGAGCTACGAAGTCCGACTGCTAACCAGATTTTTATTTCGCTTCAACTACCAAAGGTTTTTCCCGAATACCATGGCACCGGTTCGAATCCAGCCGCAGTCCAGATTTTCATCTCACCTTCAATCATCACCCAGTACAGTGAATATGTCCAATCAGTTGACTAGTAGAATATCTGATGGGATAAATACACAGCTCAGATACAAAAGACTCGTTTGACATTTGCCAACTTCTATCAACTGTGGTGCTGACTGCCGAGATATCTGACTATCCAACAAAGGATGAGAACACTGCACTTCAGCTCGTTCTTTCATCCTGTACAACTGTCAGATATGGTGGATAAAAGCAGAAGACATGAAGCAATTACAGGGTTCTCATCTTATGTGTCTTCATAGCACTGGTCACGTTTGGCGGAATAACCGTGTGGGCAATGCTGAAGTCAGACGAAGGGTACCCGTTAAGACAGACAAGTCGACTGAGATGGTTTGAACGTGTGTCACGCATGGCGATCCACCACCTACGTCGACGTACCATGCTATAGGAAGTTGAATCAGGTTGAATGAGAGTTCAGAAATTATTATTATTTGTCCCTTGGGTTCCGAATGGAACACAGGACAGGGCTTCAGAAGCACATCTCCATCCCACTCTGCTCTCTGAAATCTTTTCAACCTGGTTCCACGACAGCTCACAAGCTCTCATTTCCTCCTCATAACATCTCCTCTATGTCACCCTCAGCACCGACGCCCAACTAGTCGCTCCCCATCTGAGTTCCACTCGAGCAACTGGCCTGGCATGGCCTGGCCCGACGCCTGATGAACCCAGTCCGCCTTCTCACTCTATGCCCAATCCAATCCAATCCAATCCATCTCCACTTCCTTTCACTGCATATTTCTTCAGCGATAGGTTATTGCCTCGTTACTTCGTCACCAGCCAGACAGAGTTCCTTATTGTTTATTCTCATTATTCTGGCAATCCATCTGATCTTCAGTAACGAGCCAGTGTAGGCGGCAGTTGTTGATGAATGTCTGTAATTTGTTGGAAATGCCTTTCGTAACGCACCAAGTCTCTCAACCACCACACAGAAGCACTGACTTGACACTGGTGTTGAAAATCCAGATCTTCTTCACGCTTTATGCTGTGTGCAGAAGATCTTCACACTGTTCCAGGCTAATGAACGTCTATCTTGCTGTCTTTCTGATTCTGGCTGGCTTTGACTTACTCGTCTGTGCCACCGCCGCCTGTAGTTGAAACAGTGCTGCCCAGATAGGTGTATGTGAAGGAGATTACTTCCTTTAAGTTTCTCCCGTTCATCCTGATTGGAACTTGTTGTTGCTGTTGTTGTTAGTTGGGTATCTTCATCACCCTATCTTCTCTACGTTCACCTGAAGGAAGTCCCGTCTTCGCTGACCTGCCGTGCCCTGCATCTTCTGTCAACTTGTTAGTTTTAGCCTGTTGATCTTCAAGTTTGTGTGACATTAGACACAAGTCATCAGCGAAATCCAAATCATCTAGGTTCTTTTTCGTGGTTCAGCCAACGTATCCCTCTCTTCATGCTTCTCACTGTTTGTTGCATGATCCAGTCCAGTCGACCACAATCAGGAATATCATGAGGGATAGTAGGCAAACTTGTTTCACTCCTGTCTTCATTTCACTTCAAAGGCATCACTGAGCTTCCCATTGTGAATTACTTGGCTGGCATGTGGCATCTTCATATAGTTGTTGAATGAGGCTGATAAAGGTTTGCGGAATTCCGTAGTGTCACTACCTACTGGTCTGAGCACTGTTAAGAGATTTAGACAACCTGACTAGGTCACCGAGACGATGAGAACTCTCAGTGACATGGTTTGAAATCGGTCACAATGGTGCAGATGTATTCACTCCTTGACGTCTTCAAAACCCTGAATATTCACACTAACTGTTATCTTCAAATCTATTATTCTTTCATACTTTCATATCACCCATTTTTTATCCACCTGTTCTCTGTATATTACTGTGAAGTGCGGCAAGTTGAACTGATACACTCGTGTGCGAAGTTCTACATTGATTCAGTCGATGTTTCTGTTCTAAATTGAGGCATTTCTCCTGAATGCATGGAACTTTAAACATTGTAGTGACTAACTAAGTCTCATACAACTTAACCTGAATTCACTAGTCAAAATTTTAAAACTCTTCCTTATTATAGAATACTATTTGCATTTGCCTCTTATTATCTAGTATTGAGTCCATTTTGTAGAATCATAACCAACAGCTAAAGGTCAAGCTAGTATATTACAAAGAAATATTACGCTTTACTAGTTGTAACAATAGTTCTCCGAGATCATGTCATACTGAAAACATCCATTCGGTAATCGCCTCATGTCGTCTACTTTTGTCGGCCATGTCTAACAGTTGTACAATAGGAGAGAATGGACTGTAGTGCGGTGTTCACATCCTTTATTAAATGGTCAGATATCCCAGTAGTCGCTGCGTCACGTGACATTAGTTGGCATATGTTAAACAGGTCTATTGTATCCAAGCTGAGTTTTGAGCAGAGAAACTGTGCAATATTGTATAGAGAGCACTGGGTACCAGTTTCAACTTACACAATGGTGTAAAATATCGCTTTAAAATGAAATGTATATTGTTGGTATTTTTCTCTTCGTCATAAAAATTTCTATTATTTTTTTCTAACTTGTTTCTAAAACAGAACCTTGTCTTCTAAGGATTAATAATATGCTTTCATACTCATGAATCCACATCAGAACAGAATGAATAGGCTGGAATTTAAACAACTTCACGATTACCATTTATTGACATACTTGTAATTCTCCGTTATTTTATTGGATCGAATCAATAAATAGTAATAACTACTACCCATTCTACAAGAAGTGACTATCGTTCCCGCCGTGGCATAGTGGATAACGCCTTAGCGTTTGAAGCGATGGGCACGAGGTTCGAATCTCAGTGGGGTGCAGGTATATCCAGCTGACGAATCCTAAATAGGACGAAATGGGCGTCCTGTATCCCTCTGCTAGTTACAACCAACCAAACTTCACGATTATTCGTATAGACAGTTGGGTGACTTATGAGTGAACCCCTGACCTCAATAGGTTGTAGAATGATCAAATAAATCTTCGACAAAAAGAAACAATCATGTACTGAAACTCCGATACGAGAAAGAATACAAA